ATTTTGTCTCTTACATGTACAGTGAGTCGTAAGTGAAGTTGTAAATCAAAACTTTTGTTCATACGACGTTTTTTTTCTTGGATTTCTGTCGTTGTTTCATAGAGTTTGGTACTTTTGCTTCAGCTTAGACTCTTTCTGACGTCACACAGTCTCACAGCTCCTTTTAAACGCCGAAGAATAAAACATGTCAAAGATCACGTAAAATGACTCTGGTGAATAGTTAAAACTCTTCATTCATGCAGCTGTGAGTTGTGACTCTGCAAACAGGGGAAGTCTGTATCATCTCACACAACACTGAGTTATTCAAAGCTCCATTAATGAATCATAGGCTCCACTTTGTGCTCCAGACTCAGCCTCTCTAAATATCTCATAAGGGCCTATTCTTTTTTAATGCGCGCATCACATAAAACAAACATATAACTAACTGTATCGAACAGATTGGGCGGAGGGCTGATCACTGTCACCTCCGAGAGAAAACACTGTAAAACATTCTCCGCTCTCTCCTCTCTTTCGCTCTTATAAATTCTTCATACTCAGACGGCTGTACTTGATTTTTTGCTGAAAAACAGAACTGGTTCGTTTTAAACAGTTTGCAGTCGTCCAAAGTTACTCCTCATGAGGTTCTGGGGGAGCGGTGTGTAAATGAAAGAGAATTTAAAGTAAAACAGACGGCAGGTTCAGTACAGCAACAAGGACGCGATAAACCAACGCAAATGACAAGTGAAAATAAAACAAGCTATCTAGCATGTAATGAAAATGTCATTTTTCATGAGTTGTGTGTGTGTTAGTTGTGTGACTGTAGATCAGTGTGTTGTGCATCACCAGAAAAAGAAGAAATTTCGTTCCAATTACAATTTTAACAGCAAACACTGAAAGAGAAAGGAACTGTTATAATTAGTGATTATCTTGAAAACTATTCATATTTTACTATACAAATGCATAGAATTATAAATAGATCATCATTTTTCTGAGATTTTGTGAAATTTCCAAAACCTGCATACATTTTGTGCCTTCGTTAACATTAGTATTAGTTTGTACGACCATAAATGGAAACAAAATAAACCAATGCAAATGACAATTGAAAATAAAACAAGCTCAATCAGAAAGAGCATCCTGGTCCCCATGAGGCGTCGGTGGGTCAGTTCATCAGCACAGAAGCAGTTTAGGAGGAGTCCAGCCCATATTACATGATCATTCTATCCATAATGCAATGTGTGTATCTGTACAGGCCCATGAACATTTGTGTGATATTGGTCACTAGGGTTGTCCTGGCACGATCGAGTCTGTAGTCATGTGATCGGCGCCGATTTCCGATCACGTGACTGCAGACTCAATTCGGACTCGGCCGATCAGGTATCGGATAAATAATATACTTATAACACACAGCAAACACAGGACACATAGCACACAACAGTTAATGTTTTTTTTGTTTTTTTTTTAACTGAGGCATGGCATTTGCTCAGAGATGTCCATTTAGCGCGACTGTCTGTCCCAGCGCCTGTTGTACTAGGGTCACACTCGCACTGGGACTTCTGGGTCGAGTCGTTCTCGGGCGCTGTTACCTGTGGTTCTGTGGTCCGTGTTCACACCTGTGCGGCCGATGGCGTCGTCACATGGTGCTGTTTGTTTGCATGTTGCGCAACGGAGTTGGCGCATTTGGCGAAGAGGGTGGGAACAGTGGTATGAAGCGTCTATTGAGTGGTGGGACTGATGCTGTGGTGCACGCTTGTGTTTGCAGTGCACGCTCCGCTGTGGGTTTGTGGATGTGGTGGTGGTGCGGGGGACAGAGGCTGTGGGGTTTCTGTCATCTTGTTTTTATTTGGTAAGATTTTGTATTATTTGGATTTCATTGACGAGCCTAAATGTTTCAAATATAAAGCACATGTTTCCATATAATATCAAAAATACAAAGTGTAGATTGTGCAGAGTCTCAGGTCTGACCTGATTCTGGTCTGGTTTCTGTTTGGTCCAGTTCATTAAGTTTATTAAGTTACACATTCCAAGACCAGATTGTGAAAAGTCAAGATTTTCAACAATGATGGTTCATGGTTAGAAAAGTGAATAATAAAATTAAAGTTTTGGACATTTGGTTTTTCACACTAAGTTCAGCCCAAATACTTCACATGAAATCAGCACAATCTGATCCCGCACACAGCCTGGATCTGATTCTTTGCTCTTAGTTCATTTTCATAATGTTTTATAGAAGTATCGGATCGGGACTCGGTATCGGCAGATGCTCAAAATCAAAGGAGTCGGACCTGGGGGCAAAAAAATGTGATTGGAACATCCCTATTGGTCACACATGAGAATGTCTGTGTTTACTAATGTGTAACGAAAATGTCATTTTTCATGAGTTGTGTGTGTGTTAGTTGTGTGACTGTAGATCAGTGTGTTGTGTATAACCAAAAAAAGAAGAAATTTCGTTCCAATTAGAATTTTAATGGCATACACTGAAAGAGAAAGGAACTGTTATTATTAGTGATTATCTTGAAAACTATTCATATTTGACTATACGAATGCATACATAAATAGATCAGAATTTTTCTGAGATTTTGAGACCACTCCCGTTGCTGTAGCTCCATCCTTCGTGGAGTTCTGCCCAAAAACTAGTGATGTGTCATCCGTGTCGAGGCTTCGATCCAGAAAGGCTTTGGTGAAGCGCGTATCGAGGCTTGTATCGGTGACGTATGTGCACAAAGCCTTGCGAACCTCCCACACCACGTGAACCATGTCCATATGTCCAAAGATGCCCTTGTTTCTTTAAATACAAACATACACAATCCAATTCCACACACTTTTGTGTCACTGTATGCAGCAGATTTCTTCTCGAAAACACTCGTGTAAACGCGGAATTAAAAGCGAAGACACGACACCACTTTTGCGTCTTCTGTTCAGACCGTCATCATATAAAACGTGAACTGGAGCCAGAGTCGATGGAGCCAGTAGCGCGGTCATGCTCACTGTTTTGCTCTGCTGTGTCCATTTATAGTTTATGATTGTTACGTAATAATATGAAACGTGACACTCCATCGCCCAACCACATCTGACTCTGAAATTCCTTTGTCTACACAATTTCCCACAATGCACCAGACCGTGGCCATCTTCAGTGATCATCCCAACACTGACCTGTATTTATCAGCTCTCACTTTGGGTTTGCGCAGACATCAATTATTGAGCGTCTGTGGGTTGATTGTAGCTCATAAATGCCATTCAGTGTGATCCGCCTTTAGCGCAGTAATCAACGGCCAGCTCCTCCTAAATAATGCACAGGCACAATTAAAAGGCTCGCTCCTCGTGCTGTATCTCCCCTCGTGCTGTTTCATGCATTTATGGATCAGCGCTGGATCGAGACGCGACACGGTTAAATGTCAATCAGCACATCTGAGGAGGTCTGCGCTGTGAATACAATCCACCGAAGGATGTTTTATTCACTGTTGTGTTGGGGTCAGCTGTGAGGAGTCGGCTTAACTTTCAACTTTCATTCCCATATGCTTGAGTAACCCTTTATTATTATTATTATTAAGCTCAAAATACTCTGTTCCACCTTGTGATGTCATGTAGACAACGTTTCTGAATTTTATTTTATTTTTTTTAGTGGGGTGAAAAAAATTCACGTCCACACTTGTGTCAGATCAGTAAATATTCACATTCAGACGACAACGAAGCAAGTGAAAATGATGTAATATATCTGCCACACCTGTATGTGGCGCTGTAACAATGATAACAATATCTAATAATGCAAATCTCATCACCGTTTTATTAAACTTTAAGGTAATTTAGCCGATTTTAGATGTATCCCAAAAATATAGACGTTTTGTTTTGCAAAAGTTAAACATAAGATTTAGTTTTTAGCTGTAAGATTTTGACGAGAATTATTACAATAACTTGGTCTCAAAAACCAACAGTTTAATTACTTGTGTGTGATTTTTGTTATTGATCCATGTGCTTAATCTGTGGTGCGTGTTGTTAGTATTGGCATTAACAGTGTGTCTCGGTTGTTGGGCGACGGGAGCAGCTCTGTAGGCTACACCTGTCACATTTTGGCAAAAGTCTTGTGGTCCGCCAAGGCCAGTTCGAGGGCTGTGGCCTTCGCTGCATCAGAGGACTCTGGCGATGACGGGGTCGCGATGTCATCGTTTTGTACACAAACACAACACAAAACATGGTACATTGATCTCCAGAACAGTTGATAGTCAAGGTCAGTTAAATACAATAAATCAATGAACCTGTCCAGGGACGACAGGTGGAAATTAACACTGATGCTACAACCTGATGTACAATGCATCTCTCCTGTTAAGGTTAATGCAAAAATTGTGCGCTGTCCCTGTCTCAAATAAATAAATAAATATATCCTCCAAAAGCTGCAGTTTGTTTGTTCACAGGACAACACAACGCCGGTGTTCTCAGATTTCTCCACTCTGGAACCTGTTCTCAAATAATACCGTTTTCCCCCACACCGGCTCCGTGTGGACGAAAGGCCAAAATGAATAAAAACTTCACAATTTCAACCAAAAAATTTTGTCATGTGGACAGGCCCTTAGCCTGATTCATCAACCGGTTTCACTTGGTAGAAACCGTGTGACCTCGCAGCATTAAGATTCGTTCGTTCGTTTGGTTGTGATGTATGTAATGCACCAAATCCTGTAGGAAGAAGAACAATAACATCTTTCCTCTTTAAAAGTTTTATTGAAAGTAAATGTGTCAATCCAGTTATCATTAAAACACTTGTTACATGACAAATCCCTGAGCTGCTCCTGTGCTCTGAACCACTGACAGAATCAGAGCCTTCCTCAGCATTTACCTGTCACCACATATAAATCACAAAATTGGCACCAACAAAAGGAAAACAATCTGAATTGTAATAAAATACTTGGTAATTCTAGTCAGTATAATGGTAGCCTAATTCTGTAGGCACATCGTCCAAACACACAGAAGAACCGGTGGAACGTCCTAAAAACCCAAACCCAGCGAACAATGGCGCAATGAAAGTGGTGTAAAAAGTGTGAATATGAACCAGTTCTTCATTGACAATACTGAAAAATGACAAAGAACCGGCAGAATGGTCCAGGTACACTGCCACATGGCCAGAGGAGGTTGGAGACTGGTATGCTTTTCTTCTGGGATGACTTTCAGTGTATTTATGATCAGAGACCTTCAGGCTCCAAGACTGATCATTTTTTCCAAACTTGCAAACTTTAGAAAGTTTCTTCCGGCTTATTCCTCTGTAACTCACTGCTATATCAACCTCTCCTTCCCAGTACAGCTCCCAGTAGCAGCGGCCGGTGAGAGGAGTGGAGCATAGGATTTGAGGACAGTAAGCAAACCTGTGTGGGTGATCTGGATAGTTCTGGTTTGTCTTCACATCAGTGACAGTCCTGCGGTCATCTGACACCTTGAGCTGGCTGTAAGATGTGTTCACATCCAATGTCAGCACACAATAATCTGAAAGACAAACGTAAACATCAGTCTCTATTTAGAGACTTTCTTAAGACATGATTTGGATAAACAATTTAAAATTTTAAGTTAATCCAAATTTGATTTGACAAACCTAAAATGTAAATACACACACGCAAACGCTGCATTGAGAAACTCTGTACTACACACAACCCCCCAACCACGCCCCTTCTTTTTGTCTTTCTGTGTTTCTTCTTTTCATTTACTTATTGTTCTTTTGTTGTTGTTGTTTTTGTTGTTTTGTATGTGTGTTAATCCTATATTTTATTATGTCTGTTTTGTTTAATTAACGTGCTGGGTATCCATTGCCTCAAAAATTACAAATTATGAAAAATAATAATAATAATAATAAAATAAATTTTAACTTACACTTAGAAATACCTTCAGTTAGCCAATGGACTCCAGCAGGCTTCAACCTGGATGTAAATACAATAGAAAACATACTTTATGAGTTATATATAAATACATAGATTGGCCATAGTTATAGTGGAAATAAATTGTGAATTAATTTTATCATAAATGTTCATATTTTGCTTTAGTTAACAAGTCATCAACTTCAATTGCAAATGTGCTCTGAGATTGTAAAATCTTGCTCTCCTTATTCACATATGTGAGGTTAACACACACACTCTGCAGCCTCTCATGTCACCCACACCGAGACCAAACACACAGAATCCAGCAGAACCTAGTCTGAGCTGGACCCTTTCAGTACATGTTCCCTCTCACTCTTTTCCTCAAAGTTTGGAGCTCGCATTAATGTGATAATTTTGCATCAAAAAAAAAAAAAAAAAAAAAAAAAGCCATTGACTTGACTTAGCATTAATAATAATAATAATAATAATAATAATAATAATAATAATAATAATGTACAGTTCAAATAATATCTCACCTGAGAGAGTCCAAGGGTAAGTCTCGATGTTCCCATAGATCCTTCAGTACCTGCAATGCTGAGGGCCCTGGATTGTTGTAGCTTAGGTCTAACTTCATCAGATAGCAGGGCTCATAACTCAAAGCTTTGACCAAGGTGGTCCCACCTTTCTCAGAGACCATACAACCTGACAAACTAAAAACACAGTATTAAATGATGATAGGAATGACATCAAGAACACATTATGGGACTTCCCTCACTTCAGACTCAGTAGTTTACACACGGTTGTCTTCAGCCCAGAGAACAGTAGCTCGACTCCTGAGTCTTGGATATCATTATTACTCAGATCCAAGTGTTGGATTCTGGAGGACGTGAGGACAGAGGCCAAATGGCCACAGCAGCTCTGGGACAAGCTACATTGACTGAGACTGAAGGGGACATTTTAGGACAACTGAACATTATACCACACGTCACACCTCTTATTAAACATTAATAGCACGAACACATACATGATGGTCTCCAGTTTGCAGTTTGGACTCGCCAGTCCTTCACACAGCAGCTCCACTGCAGAGTCCTGGAGGTTGTTATAACTGAGATCCAGGTGTTGGAGGCAGGAAGTCTGTGAGCTGAGAACTGAGGAAAGAGGATCACACGTTTCCTCTGACAAGTTACAGCTCCTTAAACTGAAAGGAAAGAAGAAACAATCCATAACACATTCTGTAGTTATAATAGAACTACAGCATAATATTTGTCCTAAACTCACAGAGCTTTCTTGGAAGCTTTGATGACTGGCAGCAGTCTCAGTAGAGCTGTTTCTGAAGAGGAGTATTTCTCCAGGTCAAACTCCTCAAGATCTTCAGATGAGGTCAGTAGGAGAAAGGCAAGAGCCGACCAATGAGATGGAGACAGATCTTCTGCTTTCAGGGTCTCTGTAGTCAAAGCTCTTTGGATATCTAAGACTAAAGAATAGTCCTTAAGTTCATTTAAACAATGAAAGAGGTTGACACATCTCTCCGCAGATAGGTCCTGGTTGATTTTCTCATGGATGTATTCAACTGTCTCTTGGTTAACTTCTGATTTTTGTAGCAAAAAACCTTGGAGCAGACGCTGATTTTCTGGTAGAGACAGACCCAGGAGGAATCGCAAGAACAAGTCGAGGTGTCCATTTGGACTTTTTAGTGCCTGGTCCACAGCTGAATGATGGAGATCTTTGAGTTTACATTTGCCTTTTAATCTCTTCAGACTGATATTTATTGGTTGTTTTGTTGAGAGCAAGTTTACACCAGTGTGGACAAAGGTTTGATGAACATGAAGAGCAGCCAGAAACTCCTGCACACTCAGATGGATGAAGCAGTAGACCTTGTCGTGGTACAGGCCTTGCTCCTCTCTAAACACCTGTGTGAACAAACCAGAGTACACCGAGGCAGCTTTGGTGTTCAGGCCAGAATGTTTCAAGTCTGACTCATAAAAGATCAGATTTCCTTTTAGCAGCTGGTCAAAAGCTAATTTTCCCAGAGACTTTACCATCTTCACGGTCTCATTTGTCCACTGAGGATCTGTCTCAGATTGCCCATCATACTTCAGATTTTTGATTTTGGCCTGGATCACCAGAAAGTGGATGTACATCTGGGTGAATGTCTGAGGCAGCTCGTCTGTGTCAGTCTTCATCACATGGTGCAGGACAGTGGAGATGATCCAGCAGAAGACCGGGATGTAGCACATTATGTACAGACTGTGGGACTTTTTGATGTGGGAAATGACGGCTGTGGCCTGCTCTTCATCCCTGAACCTTCTTATGAAGTACTGCTCCTTCTGTAGGTCAGTGAACCCTCTCACCTCTGTCACCATGGAAATGAAGGAGGCTGGGATCTGACTGGCCGCTGCAGGGCGAGTGGTTATCCAAACCTTAGCGGAGGAGAGCAGGTTCCTCCTGATGAGGTTGATTAACAGCACATGCACTGAGGTGGACTTTGTGGGGTCAGTCAGGACCCGGGTTCGGCTGAAGTCCAGAGGAAGTCTGCATTCGTCCAGACCATCAAAAATGAAGAGCACCTGGAGGTCCTCAAAGTTGCTGATTACTTTGGATTCACTGAAGAAGTGGTGCAGCAGTTCAACCAGGCTGAACCTTTGGTCTCTGAGCACGTTGAGCTCTCTGAAAGTGAATGGGAAAAGCAGCTGGATGTCCTGGTTAGTTCTACCTTCAGCCCAGTCCAGACAGAACTTCTGAGTCAGCATGGTTTTCCCTATGCCTGCCACACCCTTCGTCAACACAATATGTATGGGCTTTTTTGTTCCAGCAGAGCTTTTAAAAATGTCTTCACATTTGATGGCTGTCTCCAGTCGGCCTGGGGTCCTATAGTCAGTCTCGATCTGTCTGACCTCATGTTCCTGGTTGACTCCCGCAGCCCCTCCCTCTGTGATGTAGAGCTCTGTGTAGATCTGGTTCAGGAGGGTGGCATTTCCTGCTATAGGGATGCCCTCAGACACACAGTTGTACCTCTGCCTTAAGCACGATTTAATCTTGCAACAGAAGATCCCAAAAGTGCTTTCTGTAAATGCAAAAAAGTCCACAGTGAATTAGAGAAAAATGCTCTGAAAGTCACACTTACCATTCTGAAGACGGTCAGCGAGGTTCTCATCCATCTTTTTGAGAAAGTCCAGGGTAATCCTCAGAAATGCCTCTCTGTTGCTCTGCTGCTCCTCCTCCTCGGTCTCAAAATATTCTGCAGATTTCAGAAGCCCGTGCCACTTCTTTAGCTCATTTTTAACAAACATCACAAGGTTTTCTTCTAGTTTCTGGAATAAGAAGATGATAAGGGTAGAGGGTATGAAAACCATTTGACCTTCATTTTCATGACAGTGCACATTGTAGGTTTTCACTCAAGGCATCAACACTATGAATAAACACATACATACTAAACAATCAACAGTGAAATAAGCATTTTTATATGATACATTCTTTAAATGAGTCACCCTTTGTTTGCTTTGCACTCTCTGTAATCCCTGACCCTTGTGTTGCTTTCAGACCGCGGTGTCAGAAAATGATGCCTCTATTTGGACGCATTTTAGTTCAGATGCCCCCAATGCGTGTCTTGGACGCCATAGACGAATGGGAGAAAAATACTTGATGCGTGTCCGTTGCCCTGGAAACAAGTGCCCGGCCCCGGTCTTTTCCCGGAACGATGGACCAGGTTGAGAGAGACTTTAGTTTTTTTATTACATAAAATTACAGCACAGGAGTTTGACTCGGCTGCTGTGGCGTATATATACAGTATGTATACTCCACTAATGACACTGGATCAGTCCTGGTCTAGTCCTGGTCCAGTCCTGGTCCAGTCCTGGTCCAGTCCTGGTCTAGTCCTGGGCTAATCCTGGCGATCTTCTTCCAGATAATAACATTGCTACGTCACTGGATACTCGTCCCTGATTGGTTGACGCGGTGCATCTGACGTGAAAAGTTTGGCATTTTCAACTTCTGATGCTGACGCCTTGGAGGCGCTTAGGGCATTGACACCTGAAAGCTTAAGACGAAGCGACACCAGATTCGTGGCGTGCTGAAGACACGCCGCAAAAACGCAGGATGCCTTAGACATGCGTCTACGTAGACTTTGCATATAAACTGGACGCCTTGACGCTCCGGTCTGAACGGGCCATTGGAAGGCACGTCTACTATTTCAGATGAATTCATCACAAAGCTCATTGACTGACGAGTTTGCAGTGTTGTCAGTAAAGCAAAGGGTAACTATTTGAGGAACGTAAATATAAAATATAAACATACAGTAATTAGAGTTAATTAACACATTATTCATATATACATATACTGAATTTCATTATACTGTATAACGACAATAAAGGCTTTCTATTCTATTCTATTCTACATAATTCCATCTTACTTCAGATATTTGACTTCTCTAGAATTGACTTTCAAGTCTATACACAGAATAGGGCTTGTCATTTTGGTGATATTATCATATTGTGTTTTTTGTTTTTTTGTTTAATGCAGCTCCATGCTTCCCTCCTGCTATTGGTCAGTCTTGGTTATGGACTTGGTTGTGACAGGTGGATTTAACCAATCACAATGAAATTTAGGAACAAAAGAAGACTTTAGTTACATCTTATAGACTGTATAGATACTGAAAATATGAATTGTGATCAAATTACAATTAGGTCTGCCTTGAAGAAATCAGTGCCCAGTGCTCAAAGCGGGACTGGATAAACTTGTGGATGTTAAATAATCAATAGAGTATTCAATTACTAAAATAATCGATAGCTGCAGCCCTAGACTCAAGTCATTAAAATAGTGAATCAGGTCTGACGGGCTGATTCCACATGTGTCTCATGTGTCTCTGGTTCTCTGAACCACACACTGAGCAGTTGAGGAGAAGTTGTGGTGGATGAGGGTCGTTCCTCATCCTGTGTATGTGCAGAGCTCCACCTCCACCATCCTCCAAATTACAGACCAATTCTATTTTTTGACCAATCTCCACAGTTCAGAACGCACCAAACAGGAAAGAGAACGGGAACTACATTGGGATTTCCAAAGTAATTACACTCAACACCGACTTCATTTTCATCATATTATTTATAACAGATGTTTATACAGTTGTTGTGTTGGTAGTTGAGTTCAGTAAACTGTTAATCTTCACTCTGTCACTGAAACACCACAAAACTTTTGGTCTTTCATGGGGACTTTTATTTGAGTAGAGCTCTTCTCAGGCTCAGTCTCTGGGCTCACAGTCCTGAGGGAGAGTCTGTGCTCTCAGTCAGAGTCGATTCAGAGCCAGAGCTGCATGATGTGGAATCAATCCATGACTCGAGTCCAAGTCACAAGCTGCAAGTCCTCACTTCTGCAAATATCTGCACCTGATTCATATGTGCTGGACAAGAAAGATAATGGTGTTTACAAACCGTAAATATTGAATCTAGATGTGTCGGATTCTCATAGCCCGACTCTGGCTCCAATCTAAAGAAATTAAAAGAATTAAAAAAAAGGCTTAGGTTATGTTTTACTTTTTTTCTTTTTTTTTTACATTACATAAGTGAAACACATGACCAAATTATGACTGAACAATCAGTGTGGGCGACTTACCTGGGATGATCCCTGGGCTGTTCCTTGAAGTATAAGGGTTCATCTTTGGACTTGGAACTCATCAAGGTCACATATTCAGGGTGAATCATTGACTCTTTACTGATGGAAACACATTCAAGAATGAGTTCAACTTCTCTCCATGAATTTCCATGGTTTGATATTACATGTAGGTGTTATATTATTTTATTAAAAATACTGTTAAAACAGACCCTAAAAACAAGGAGATGTTATTGCTTTGACTAGAATGTTTCACAGTATGGCATTAAACCTTTCTATCTTCAGGGAGACTGACCAACCAAGTTACAGGTCAGATCTGTGGAGAGGCGACCCCGCTCACAGTCAGAATGCCTGTTTTTCTAGGTATTTTTGAGCTGTAAAACCACTTGTAATTTAGCAAATGTAAGGGAGAGCAGTTTAATGAACATTCCAGGCAGAGCAATGACAAACAAGCAGGTGACAGAGCGTCAACCAAAAAGTTACATAGTGCTCCTTTACTGATTTAATCCAGGGGTCATCAAACTAAGGTCACCACGCCCCTTTGACCAGCCTATTTTTTTTTTACTTTTTGGCAAATAATAACACATCTGCATTTTGTATTTTGTAGATTGTTTTTTTCAATTAAAAAATATATTTCTATGAAGTATTGATATTTAAATAATTATACGTATTTACATTTGTTGCAGAATTTTCAACACCTGACAAACTCGAGATCAAACAGTGACAGTCAAGCAGGCACAGAGTTCTGTAGTGCAGTTAAGGACAGAAAAATGTCTTGTTTAAAAGTACAAAAACTTGACAGTTTTCAGAGAACAGTGGATGACTGATTATTTTTTTGTTCAGTGTGAGGTGCGTGCAGTTTGTCTGATGTGTAAAGAAAGTGTGGATGTTTTCAAAGAATATAATCTGCTTCGCCAGGGTCAGACAAATCTGTTATATGACCAACACGACTCCATCACAGTCAAGAGTGATAATGTGACCCCTAGAGAAAAAAAGTTTGGTGACCCCTGATTTAATTGAAGACAAATTGAATAATTAAATACACAGCGACATGTACAGATACATATAGTTCTTCTGTTGTATTTTTGTGTAAAGCTCTGTGCCTCACACCAAAGGGAAAAAACTCACCTGACAGAAGCTCTGAAATACAGAGGTTCATCTTTAGATCTGTCGCTCTGCAGAGACACACAGGTGAGCTCAGGTCCAGAGTTTAGATCCATCCTTGAATTTTCCATCTTCGTCTAACATTTCACAAACAAATTATTGCCTTTGTTCATTCTTACGAAAGAAAGTTTAACTAATCTAGGTCCCTACAAAGTTTTATGTTTTTATGTTTTCTTTGTAACTGTATAAAATATTATATATAAAATGTAAAAGAATAATCTACTTACGCTGTGTGTAAATTTCCAGTTCAGCTGCTTCAAGTTGAAACAGATCTGCAGGTTTGTTTCATTCTCAGACCTGATCTGCCCACAAGTTTACAAGCACTCACATGAATCACACCCAGACCAAGGTCAAAGTCGACGCTGTGTCTTTTACTGGGATGAATTACACAACCAAAACAAACATACTAGTTTAAATTCAAAACAAACTGCAAACTTGTTCACTGGAATCTCTTCATTCAAGCCCCTGCAAAGACTAAACTTAATTGTAAGATTCAATCAGTTTTACTTAATTACACAGCAACACATTAGTGAGTTAAAACCTTTAGTGAGTTAGAATCTTCTAGAGCTCCTGCTGAGGTCTGAGCCAGAATAACCAGAGGATCCAAGACTGAATCTTCTCTACTCTTAGAGCTACGTACAGTATACAAAATCAGTCTGGTTTGTGCCCAGATGTTTAACTCATCTCCAGAGACTCTGGACTCTGCCATCGGACTGTCTGTAAATGTAACTAGAGTCTCCATGTGCAGCTCATCTGAGGTTCAAACTACTGAGAATCCTTCAGGTACTGCTGCGGCTGCTAAATTAAGGTTTGGAAGAGCGAAAGTCAATGAACTCAAAACAAAAATGTGTGAAGAAGCCCTCAATCGTCCAGGTAGAATCCATGGCGAGGAGAAAATTCAGTTTGTCTGGACAAAAGATGGTGTCTGAGGCCTCTAAACAGAAATGGAGGCCTCAGACACCGTCTATCTCCTATTTACAACTCCATCCTCAAACCAAAATCAAAACAAACAAGAGAACAACAGGTGTATCCAGGTCAGGTCCAGAGGTGTGGAAGCTCCATTATGGCCATGAATTGTTCTGCTAATTAGACCCCACACCCTGTACAGGTCAATAGGCCGAACTAACAAACAGAAACTGTAAACAAGTGTGTGTGTTAGTTTCAGAGTAGTTTCAGTGTAGTTAGCTCCTCCCTGCAGACAGATATAAGGAAGTGTCCACCAGCGTCTGACCAGAACTGAAGAAGCAGCTTGGATGAGCTGAGAAACATCTTCAACCAAACTAACTTTTGTCCAGTCGACAAACTGAATTTTCTCCTCGCCGTGGATTCTACCTGGACGACTGAGGGATTCTTCACGTACGTGTTTGTAACTGTATGTTGTATGTTCTTGGTCCACTTTGAAAACAAGATGCTGCATCTCAAGGGGCTTTTCATTAATAAATTTAAATTCTAATTCAAATAGAAACTCGACTCCCAATTCACCAGCCTCGATGAACTTCATTTGACTGGAGCTGAACTCCGTGGGTGACGTCATTCTCCTTTAGTCCCCTTCTTTAAACCATGTACTTTCTTTGCACATAATATTAGGTATGCAGTGCCATATTTATGTTTCAGAAACTGTAAACAAGTGTGTGTGTTAGTTTCAGAGTAGTTTCAGTGTAGTTAGCTCCTCCCTGCAGACAGATATAAGGAAGTGTCACCAGTGTCTGACCAGAACTGAAGAAGCAGCTTGGACGAGCTGAGAAACGTCTCCAACCAAACTAACTTTTGTCCAGTCGACAAATTGAATTTTGTCCTCACCATCAAAAAAAATTTTTTTTTAAACCATATTTTAGCAGAAATACAATTTATGTTTTGTATTTTAATACAGAACAATGGGCTGAACCTGAACCTGCCCTTTGTCGATGGAAAACCTATCTTCTGCCTTTGTCTCAGTTAATAAGAAGTACATGAATGTTTCTTCAGTCAAGTTCGTTCACACCCTGCAGTGAATTACTGTTACTCTGGAGTAGCTCTCGTCAGATAACACAAGTATGATTTGTCCATTTCTGAGCTTTACTGTGTTTAAGTACAAAGCAATCACTTCTTTTCACTCATTTGTTCCTGAAGTTTAATTTGTCTTTTTGGGGCCTCACCTGGCTGATCTCGTCCACGTCTCCTCCTTCATTTGAATGCGCGTCACACCTGGCCACCCGCAGCCATCTCCGCTCCCATTTCTGATTCGTGACCTCTGATAATTGGCCAGCGCTGGAGTGATGGCTGTCTGCCTCTGTCACCTGCCCACTCTGAATTATTAATATCTAATATCATTATGTAGGCAGTGCTTGTCATAACAATCCGAGCCGGTGGAGAGGAACTCAATCTGCAGCCGCTGCCCTGTGCCTACAATGCATTTAATTATTGATAACGACTAATTGGCTACAGGATTCACGGGGCACACTTACTTTTGTTCCCACTTTGCTCCTCCAAGAAACAATCATATTAATAGGCCAGCCCTCTCTGATGGCCCCATGTCAGCAAATTAGCAGCCGAGACGACCCGCGCGACCCGTCCTCTGTCCACCGTTTTCACCCATATTCACTTTTCTTGTCCTTTTCCGCTAACCTTGAGTTTAATTAACGTTGGTCACTGAAAAATCGTTATTCAGTGTGCGTGCCGATGTCCATTTTTTTCAAACAGGAGAACAACGAAGACTTGGGGAGGTTAACAAAGTTTAATTAGAGTCGATGGGCAGGTCCTGGGGTCTTGTGTTTGACTGTGGAGCTTCAAGAGAAAGTAAAACCGTGAATTAAACCGACCAGCTCTAACCCGGACTAATAGGCAACTTTAAATTAACCTGAGAGAGAATGGTTGTATAACAGCATTTGGACTATGGTGACATGATTTTGACCCACTGACACTTCGGTAATTTGGGTAATGTGATGGGGGCGATGGAAGTTTTGAGCCTCATTGAGTTCGTATGTCTGATGTTGTGCTGTTGGCTTCATCAGACCAGGACCTGCAGCACTGGGGCGGTTTGCAGTCGAGTGTGAAGCAGCTGGGATGAAGATCAGCTCCTCCAAATCTGAGGCCGTGGTTCTTGACCAGAAAAAGGTGTCTTGGTGGGGAGTCCCTGCCTCAAGTGGAGGAGTTCAAGTATCTCAGGGTCTTGTTCTCGAGTGAGGGGAGGATGGAGCGTGAGACTGACAGGTGGACAGGTGGACAGGTGCAGCGTCTGCAGTGATGCGGTCACTGTATCGGACCGTTGTGGTGAAGAGGGAGCTGAGTCGAAAGGCAAAGCTCTCAATTTACCGATCAGTCTTCATTCCTCCCCTCATCTGTGGTCATGAGCTCTGGGTAATGACCAAAAGGATGAGATCGCGATTCCTCTGGGTGTCTGGGTGCTCCCTTACAGATAGAGTGAGAGGAGCAGCTGAGGGTTGGTCACCTGTTCTGATGCCTCCTGGGCGTCTCCCTCAGGAGGTGTTCTGGGCATGTCCCACCAGAAGGAGGTCCCAGGGAAGACCCAGGACACACTGGAGGGACTATGTCTCTGGGATGGCCTGGGATCCCCCAGGAGAAGCTGAAGGAAGTGTCCAGGGTGAAGGAAGTCTGGGAGTCCCTGCTTAGACTGCTGCCACCACAACCCGGCCCCATTTAAGAGGAGGAAAATGGATGGATGGATCAACTTCGTCTGTAGTTTGTGGTATACAAACTACTTAGTGCAATCTTTCCCAAGCAGGGACACCTCCGGAGACTTTTTATCACCAGTCACACGGCTAATGGTGCGAGTCAAAGGTGAGGCGCCCAAACGAACCAAAACAAACTAAACCTATTTTGGGCTGAGTTTGACCTGTTGTATTTGTTTTTGTTTTGTAGTACTCTTATTATCCCAATAATTCCAACTCTTTTCAGGAGCAGTGGGCAGCGCGTGGGGAGCCCAGGGACC